AATTCTACGGGGCACTTCGGTGCAATTCTACGGGGCACTTCGGTGCATTTATACGAGCTGTGGTGACAGCATAGTGCACAACCTCACATTACTCAAATACCTTAGGTTCTCAATATGCTATCATGGGCCAATAAACTTATTAATACAGATTCATAAATGTTACAGTCATACGCTTACAGGTATGGGTATTGATGATGTATACTACATTGATTAAGTACATGTTTGCATTTCATCTCATATGATCATGACATTTTCATTACAATTGCCTTATTATTATTGCCTCACTAAGTCGATGACTTAGCGTGTGAGTGTTTCACACGTAGGATCCGAGGAAATAGACGAGACAGGTGAAGCAGCTTGACAGTATTACTCCTGCAATCATCAGATCAGAAGCAACTTAATCAGTAGGTCATTTTGTTATGTAAATGGCAGTTGGCATGTAATTAAAGAGTTAAGTTGTGTATGCTCTGAATATTTTGGTAAACTTATATTACAGTATGTATATTATTGTATTTTCTTAATATAAGTACAAATATTTTACTATTATTTGTTAAGAGTTGTGTTTTAAAGTCAATGTAGTATCTCTGACTCATATCCGGGTCGGGTATGGGTTGGGGGTGTTACACAGACCTTTAGTGCTAAGCCCATCACAAGCTTATGTGGACTAAGTTAAACTCGAGAGGATACATTCCCTTATGCCCATACGGAGAATAAATTCACACGAAGAAATAAGGTATATGAACCCCGAAGGCAACTTGTTAGGCCCATACGGAGAATAAATTCCCACGAAGGCGTTGCTTTCACCACCACTTAAAAGGGTTCGGAGCTCGAGTATAGAGCTAGAGATGACAATTTTGAAAAATATCTGAAATCATTAAAAAAACGTTAGTACAACTATTTATTTGAAAAATAATCAAAGATAAATAATAAGAATCGAATAAATAAATTAAAATTTAAACTTGTAATTTTCGCTAAAAAGGACAACTGGAAATTAATTTCGGTCTGACTCACTTACCTGTCCCCAACGAAGTCGCCAAGCTATCGAAACCGTCTTTCGGTTGGTGCGAAATTGGGCTTCGACTTGGATTAAATGAATTGGAGTCGCCACCGACAATTTAAAACGAATTTAGGTAAGTCGGACACCATCTTACCTGATCTACGTTGTACCAGAAACGTGTCAGGTTCGAGAGTCGGTTACGGTCAAGGAAGGATTAACACCCTTGAACTGCCCTTTCGGTACCAATTAATTCATCGGCTGTCTTAATCGCGAAAATCAAAATTTAAATTGAAATTTAAAAATTCAATTCGAATTAATTATCTTTGATCGATTAAAAGTATCCTTAAAAAGTCAAAAGTGTTAGATTGTAAAAATGAAAATAAACATGAGAAAATAATAATAAAAAATATTAATATAATAATATTAATAATATATATATATATAAAACAATGTAAAAAGAAATAAAAAATATTAAAATTAGGAAAAATGAAAAATATATATAAAGTAAATAAATAAAAAATGAAATAAAAAAATAAGTCAAAAGTTGTTACATCTCCCATGTTTTTCGTGTAGAGAAACTGCATTTGTAATGAAAATGCTCTGGCACTCCTCGTGCTTTTAGATATTGGCTTTGGATCATCTACGCTTATTTTTTGTCATTTTATTCCCTCGGTTTTTCCAAATCGTTGTCCCTTCCTCTGATTTTGGTTCCACGTTTCTCTCTGTGTTCTTTCTTCTTGATGCATGAGTCTATTTATAGTCTAAATAAACTTATTTTAAGCTCAAATTTAGAGTCCTACTTGGACTAAAAATGCTTCGGTTTTTGTATTTCAATAAGACTCAAATACGTTGGTTTATTTTCTGAATCTCACTAAATCGAGGTTGTTGAATGTGGGGCCTACAAAAATAATAAAATAAAAATATAATAATAATAAATAAATAAATAAATAATATAATAAAATATTTTTATAGACCCAGACAAAAACAAGTATCTACACTTACATATTAGGAAACTTAAATATACATAAAATTTTCGTAATTGTTATTAAAACTGAGTGTTAACTTAATAGATATGGTCATCGTCTTCACTCCCATTCTCGCTTTCCTCGTAACTCCTACCGTTCATATTTTCTTCGCCATCCGACGATTTCAGGGGCGTAGGCCTATCTAAGCCACGACCCACCCATGTTTAAAGAAGGATAAATACTTATTTAGTTATTACTTATTATTTAGTTTATTTTTTAGCCACCTAACTATTATTTATTTTAAAGCACACTTAATGTTACGTTTTGGTTTTGTTTTGACTACTCATCTTTAAAAAATTAGCAATGATGTTGACGTGTCATCATAAGATAATACCATGTCAGGATTAAAAAATAATTAAAAAAATATCATCTTAACATCATTGTTAATTTTTTAACGGTAGATTATCAAAATGTAAGGTTATATATGATTTTAAAAAATAATAATAGTTGGTTGACCAAAACATGAATTAAGTAATAGGTGGGTGACCAAATAATTAGTTTATCCTAAATAAAAAATTTATGAATGAATTAGGCTAAAAAATTAGATGGGTCCAATTAATATATTTTTGTCTACATTTAATCTATATATATATAATTGTTATTATATTATTAAATGAAAATATATATGAATTATTTCGGATAAAAAAATTATATCTCACATTTTTCTGGATTCGGTCACTGAACGATTCTCTCAGATTTTCATTGTAGTTTTTCTCGTTGCTGCCATTGCAACAACATTGCCACACATTCAATGATTCCCCAAACTCTCATCGCAACTTTGCTCGTTGTCACCGTTGCAACATCTCTACCCATTTGTCATCATTGTTGCTCTTCTGCAGAACACAGACCTTTTGGACACCATTTTTGTTGTTGTTCCCATTAGTTTTCTTTCCCCCGTCTATTCGCTCTCACAGGTATCCGACGTTTGTTTGCCCTAGCCTTCAGGTGTTCTTCAAAAACCTAGTTTTCAAAATCAACCCGATAAGTTCAATGGTTGTAAGGCATGATTAGCGTTGCGAGGAATCGACGGGGGGTGTGCGATTAACATGGAGAGACGACAACAACAACAACTGAGCAAATGGGCGACGAGAACAATTGAGATTTGAGAGAGGGATTTTGGGTTTAATGTTGGACGATATTGATGTTGAAAGTAAAAAAAAGGGGTCAATTTTCGGTGCATTAATGCACCGAATTTGGTAATAGTAAAATTCAAAAATTACTGTTGCAACTTGGTTGAAAAATTGGTATGGAAAAATTGCTCATTTAATATAGTATTTTAGAGTATTTATAAGATTAGTTCTTAAGCTTCAACTATAAATACACTAACTTATTTACCTTCAAAACCATCTCAAAATCATTATAGCTTTCTCTCAATACTAGAGAAATTAAAGAGTTTTCTTGAGAATTGTTTTCTTTTTTTTATCAAGAGAGAATTGGCATTGTTTTCTCTTTGTTAGATCAAGAGAAGTTGTAATTCCTATTTTCTGATAGTGAAATTCTTCTACCTTTGCCCGTGGTTTTTACCATATATTATTTAGAGGTTTTTCACGTAAAATTTGTGTCTTCTTTATCTTATTTTTTTATTTTCTCAAATTATCAGTTGTCATTTTGCTCTATCCGATAGCCGTATTGAACAATAATTGATAGGGTTTCATATATTGAGGATTTTCAACTAAAATTATTATAATATTATGTCACATCATCATTTTTGTTAAGTTAACGATCAAAACTAACGGAAACGACAAACGAGTGACCAAAAAAAATAGAACATAATGTGATATATGATTTTAAAAAGAAAAACATAATTAGGTGGCTAAAATAGAAACACAAAAATAAATAGATTACTAAATAAATAATTTACCCTAGCCATTTTAATTTATTCAAAACTTGCACAGGAACAATTGAACCTAAGCCTTTTTAGTCGTATGACCAAATAAATAATTAGATATTTTTAATTAATTTAAAACTCGACAATTAAACCCAACCCTTTGGGTTTTTATTGTGAGAGCATAATTCAGAATTATTTGCTTGAAGCATCTACAAGTTTCGTCACTTTCAAACACGTTTTCACATTTCCAAGCTCACATCCTTAAACAGAAAGATTGTAATTAAACATAACTTTAATTTTATTAGTGGCAGAGAATAAATTAGAACAGAAAATGGCACGAAAAACATTCTTCTTTCCACATTAAAAATCTATATATTCCTTCAAACCAGTCAATGGGCACGTGATTTAATTAAGAAGAACAATTGAATTGATAAAATCAGAACTATTCTAAGTGACCACCGGCCAGGTTCTCCGAATATAAGCCAAGTGCTTTTATCACGTTCATCATCACAAAGCAAATAGATTAAAATTAATAATCACATATAAAAATTATAGATAACAATAGAAAAACTATAGTTAAACAAAAAAAAATGCATTCATTTATAAGATCTTTTAAAAAGAAAATTATGGAAAAATAAAATCATTGACAACGAACACATAGAATCAGAATTTAACTATATGATTAGAACCTAGAATATGATACTATGCCAGCGTACATAGGATCAGTGTAACAATTGAGTGCAATTGATATCCAGAAAGGACAATGCTTTATGTTTCCTTCTTTTTAGAATAAGAAACCAGCTTTACTTTAGAAAAAGAGGGAACCCCTCAAATTTTCCTAGAAGAAAAAGGAGCTTTTCTCCTTCCTTTCAATTCTTTTAACCCATTTGAATGATGAGCTTAATTAATTAATCAGTGTTGGTATGGTGAATGTCGTTCATATTTGTAATTATTATTATAATATTATTTATGCAAAGTGCCAAATCATATTGGAATACTGGGTTTAAAGCTGTATAAAAAACATACGTGTACTTAATTAATCAAACCATCTAAAAAAACATTAAATGGAAATAATTAAACAAAATGAAATAAAGGGTGGCCATAGTCATCTTTTCTTGAACTTGCATGAGTGTGTATATATATATAAGGGGAAGTTAACATCATGGAAAGTCAGCAGACATCATTTCTGTGTATATTATATAAATAGATACACAAATGCACCCATAGTTGGTAGGGCAAAACAAGTGCTACCAACACTTTCTTAATGTTTGTTTTTGCTTTTCTTCCCTTTTGCTTAGGGACACATCTTTAAAAGCTTCTTTGAAGCTGAGGTTTTCGATCAGAATTAGGGATGAAAAAAATGGGTTCACCAGAGAAAAATGGGTTCCTGAGGGAGAACAAAACCAGGCATAATATATTCATAATTTTCAGATATGCTGATTGGGTTGATGTTCTGCTGATGGTAATGGGTACCATTGGAGCTATCGGCGATGGAATGTCGACCAACTGGTTAATACTCTTCGTCAGCCGTATAATGAACAGCTTGGGCTTTGGAAGTTCCCACAAAAACAGTAACAACTTCATGGGAGAGGTCGAAAAGGTCAGCACTTGAACCAGATCCTGCTGTGTTTTTTATTCGGCTGCTGCCTTCTCGTGTTCTAATGTTTGTTTTTTTGACTTTATTAACAGTGCACATTATACTTTACATACTTGGGATTAGCAGGCATGGTGGTGGCTTTCATGGGTAATTTTCATCTTCTTTTTTCCCCGCATTTTGTTTAGCTTTCCGAGGGCAAACTAGGAGACAGTTTCTTTTAGTGAAACCCTAGAATGATAATACCCTAAATCTTGGAAAACACTGATTTCTTGCAGAAGGGTACTGTTGGAGCAAAACCAGCGAGCGGCAAGTGCTGAAGATCCGTTACAAGTATTTAGAAGCAATACTTAAACAAGAAGTCGGGTTCTTCGATTCACAGGAAGCAACCACATCGGAGGTCATCAACAGCGTATCCAAAGACACATCTCTCATACAAGAAGTCCTTAGCGAGAAGGTTTTGCCTTTCCGGTTCCCATATACCGCTTGAATTCTGCCGCAAAATGATTAACTTTTTGTTGTCCATTTTGTTTTCTCACAGGTTCCATTGTTTGTGATGAACACGACGGCCTTCATATCGGGCCTGGCATTCTCGGCATATCTTTCATGGAGGTTGGCTTTGGTTGTTTTCCCGACAATTCTTTTGCTGATAATCCCTGGAATACTTTATGGGAAGTACCTTTTGTATATCTCGAAGAAGGTTTCCGAGGAATATGGGAAGGCAAACGCCGTAGTGGAGCAGGCTCTGAGCTCGATTAAGACGGTGTATTCATTCACGGCGGAGAGGAGGATCGTGGAGAGGTATTCGGCGATATTGGATGGGGCGGTGAAGTTGGGGTTGAAGCAAGGGATAGCCAAAGGGTTGGCAGTGGGGAGCACAGGGATTTCTTTTGCCATATGGGCCTTTGTTGCTTGGTATGGAAGTCATCTGGTCATGTATAAAGGAGAGAGTGGTGGAAGGGTTTATACTGCTGGTCTCTGCTTTATCTTGGGAGGACTGTAAGTGTAAAAACACATTCCATTGAATTTAGTTCCGAAATATAATGATCTATAAACGGAATATCAATTTCTTTTTTATAATTATTTGTGGAGTACTTGAGGTTGACTGGAGTTACTTGGTGGATGAAATGTACGTAGGGCACTTGGAGTAGCACTAGCTGATCTAAAGCACTTCACGGAAGCCACCGTCGCCGCCGCCAGCATCTTCGCCAGGATCGACCGTACACCTCAGATACAAAGCGAAGACACCAACGGCATCGTGCTACCCACAATCCGAGGAGACATAGAGTTCGACAACGTCGGATTCGTGTACCCCTCACGCCCCGATTCCGTAGTTCTCAAACACTTCAACCTCAAAGTCGAAGCGGGCAAAACTGTGGCCCTTGTCGGTGCAAGCGGGAGTGGAAAATCCACCGCCATCGCATTGGTGCAACGGTTTTACGATGTAAACAACGGAGCGGTGAAAATCGATGGCGTCGATATAAGAAGGCTACAATTGAAATGGATCAGAGGAAAGATGGGGCTCGTTAGCCAAGAAAATGCATTGTTTGGGACTTCCATAAGGGAAAATATAATGTTCGGGAAGCTAGATGCTACCATGGATGAAGTAATGGCTGCTGCCATGGCTGCTAATGCTCATAATTTCATTAGACAGCTTCCTCAAGGTTATGAAACAAAGGTTCGAATTCTTGTGTGCGATTTATTCTAATTTAAGTTTATTATACATGAATTATGTGTGAACATATCGATTCGTTATTCGAATATATTATTTGTGATTTTGAATATAAAAAAGTAATATGAACAGATTGGGGAAAGGGGAGCACTGTTGTCAGGAGGACAAAAGCAGCGTATCGCCATTGCTAGAGCCATTATAAAGAACCCTGTGATACTGCTACTTGATGAGGCGACGAGTGCCCTTGATTCTGAATCGGAAACACTGGTACAAAATGCACTTGATCAGGCCTCCATGGGAAGAACCACTCTGGTAACTGCGAACTCCTTTAGCTCTATAATTCTAAAACGTTGATTGTAAAGGTGACAATATCAAAGACCTGATTGTGGAATTGACTAAGAGAATTTGATGATACGATAGAATTGAAGAAATGATAAGAGTAAAGTCTGCAACTTAAGGGATTTGGCGTGGTTCATGTCACTTTATCTTATTGTACTATCAAATTCTCTAGGTTTTCTCAATTCTCAAACCTTTAATCAGATCATCACACGGCAACGGAAGATTAGTCCCTAATTTGAGTTTTTGCCCTTTAGTCTTGGCTTTTATTTTGTCCTTTGCCTCAAAAGTCAAGTACAGTGAAGCCAATGGAGCAGGCTAGCGGTGCTTCTAATAAGCAACTATATTCAGTATTTTTTTTTATTCTAGTGTAACCTTCTTGTTGTTTTCCTTCTAATTAATTAAGAATTCGCAGGTCGTTGCCCACAAGCTCTCCACTATTCGAAATGCAAACCTCATTGCTGTTGTTGACAATGGTTGCATCATTGAAATCGGATCCCAAGATGACCTCATGAACATGAAGAACGGTCACTATGCACGGCTCGCCAAGCTACAACGACAATTCAGCTGCAGCGACCATGAACACAATCTCGAAACACGCCTTCCGTCTGCTGGAAGAACGAGTACCGGCAGGCTAAGCACTGCAAAATCGAGCCCGAGTCCGGCTTTCTTTGCTACACCAATGACTAATATAGAAACTTCTAAATCGGTATCTCATCCCCCTCCTTCCTTCCTTAGGCTCCTCTCTTTAAATTCGCCGGAATGTAGACATGGTTTGATTGGTAGCCTCTCGGCGATAGCTTTCGGAGCCGTTCAACCCGTCTATGCTTTAACAATCGGTGGCATGATTTCGGCATTTTTCGCGACAAGTCACCAAGAAATGCAGGCTCGGATACGTACTTATGCTTTGATATTTTCTTTGCTCACGTTGCTCTCCTTCATTTTGAATCTTATTCAGCAGTATAGTTTTGCTTACATGGGTGAGCGGTTAACTAGGAGAATTCGAAGTAGAATGCTAGAGAAAATGCTTTCCTTCGAACCTGCTTGGTTTGATGAAGAAAAAAACTCCAATGGAGCTTTATGTTCGAGTTTGAGCAATCAGGCATCGATGGTTAAGACTCTCATAGCGGACCGAATCTCGTTGTTAGTTCAAACTACTTCTGCCGTTACCATCGCGATGATTATCGGACTAATCGTGGCATGGAAATTAGCAGTAGTGATGATTGCAGTCCAACCTCTTACAATCATGTGTTTCTACGCACGGAAAGTTTTGCTTTCCAGCATTTCAACAAACTTCGTCAAGGCACAAAATCAAAGCACTCAAATAGCAGTGGAAGCCGTTTATAATCATCGAATAGTAACTTCGTTCGGGAGCCTCGGTAAGGTTCTTCAACTTTTCGACGAGGCACAAGAGGAACCGAGGAAAGAGGCTAGGAAAAAATCATGGCTCGCAGGGATTGGTATGGGGTCAGCTGTTTGCTTAACCTTTATGTCGTGGGCTTTAGATTTTTGGTATGGAGGTACACTGGTTCAAAAGGGAGATATATCAGCAGGGGATGTGTTTAAGACCTTCTTTATCTTAGTTAGCACCGGAAAGGTCATAGCTGAAGCCGGAAGCATGACCGCCGATCTAGCCAAGGGATCAACTGCGGTGACATCCATATTCGAGATCCTTGATCGGCAATCCTCGATTTTTCCAGGATCTCAAGTAAGTAGATTTGTTTGCTTATATTACAACATACAATTTGCTTCAACTTAATCTGTTTACTATTGCATTAGGGAGGAGATGGCACCAATGGAACAAAGCTAGAAAGAATAAGTGGAAAGATAGAGTTGAAGAAGGTTGATTTTGCATATCCAAGCAGGCCGGATATGCTCGTGTTGCGCCAATTTAGCTTGGAGGTGAAACCGGGTGCGAGCATTGGACTAGTCGGGAAAAGCGGATGTGGAAAATCAACTGTGATTGGATTAATACAAAGATTTTACGATGTCGAAATGGGGTCGGTGAGAGTAGACGGTATAGACATAAGAGGACTAGACATCCAATGGTACAGGAGGCAAACGGCATTGGTCTGCCAAGAGCCAGTGTTATATTCAGGCACCATCCGGGATAACATTGTGTTTGGAAAGCTCGATGCATCTGAGAACGAAGTTGCGGAAGCATCTAGAGCTGCAAATGCTCATGAATTCATCTCGTAAGTTGTTTACTTCCTAACCGTTGTGTTAACAGCATTCACAACCTTGAAATCACGCTAACAATTCTGCGATTCGTATTAAACCTTGATGTGTAGAGCATTGAAGGAAGGATATAAAACAGAATGCGGAGAAAGAGGAGTGCAACTATCAGGAGGACAGAAACAAAGAATAGCCATTGCAAGAGCTATAATTCGGAACCCAAGGATACTCTTACTAGACGAGGCGACTAGCGCTCTGGACGTGCAATCTGAACAAGTAGTCCAAGAAGCTTTGGATCGAATCATGATGGGAAGGACCACCGTTGTGATCGCCCATCGGCTTAACACAATAAAAAAAGTTGATTCAATCGCATTTGTGGCCGATGGAAAGGTGGTGGAGCGAGGTACCTATGCCCAGCTCAAGAACCAGCAAGGAGCATTTTCCAAGCTTGCAGACATTCAAGCATAATCGTACTTGTTAGCTCTTTCTAAAGCCGGAAATGCCACCGCAACTAGCTAGAATGTGCTCGGTTTTATATATATATAAGTGTGGAGAATTGTACTAAACTTCACTGTAATGATATCAAAACATGGGGATACTGGTTACAGATATAGACTAATATTTTCGACTGGTGTTTCAATACAACTCAAGCATGCATAAAGAGTAGTTAAATGGTGAAATTTTGAAAAAGAAAAATAAAATAAAATAAAATAAATAATATACACGTCATTTTATATCCTGACCAAACCTGTTAAAAGTGAGGATTGATCGACTCTAGTAGGAGAGAAGGAATTGGCTTACGTGGTATAACTGACGAAGGAAAGAATGGTTATTCTCCTTCAATGTTCACTGCCTTGGCTGGCGTTTCCTATTTGGTTTTAAATCGACAACGATGATTGATATATTATCAGAACTGTTGCGTCCTAATGCTATTTCGGTAAGATTATCGGCTACTACTTGAGCAGGTGAAGCTCCATCTGCTGTCGAATACCTGCGCCGCCGTCTTAGTACACAGCGAGCTACCTCCCCTGCCTCTTCGTTGCTCATCACATCCCACAACCCGTCGCTGGCCAGGATCAAACACTCATCCTCACTCTTCCTGGTCATGAAGGTAATTTCTGGCACTGGAATTATCCATGGCCTTAAATACCGATCACCTGAACATGATTGAAGCAGCTTTGACAAATGCTAAACAGGAAATTCAAATGAAATAGAAATGTAGAGATAAAGGAGAAAACCTATAGCTCTGGACATTGCAAGAACTCCAAATACCCTAGCACCATTCCAGTTTATGACTCTCCCTCCCTCTCTTTCAATCCTCATGAGCTCGTCCTGTCTATCAGGCTGTAGTAAGCAGAAAATAAGGGTGAAAAATAAACGCCTATATCTTCTTTAAAAAACAAAGCTTATTACTAGAACATAAAATATGGCAGTTAATCATTTGTAGAACTGTAACAATTACAAACAGTTTTCATAGTTACCTTCTGATCGACAGTTAAGGGAATGGTATCAGTTCCCCGACAAAGCACTGCCCTTGAATCACCACAATTGGATGTAATAATCTGGCAACCAGATAAAACTGCAACAACAGCAGTTGATCCCACCATTTCAGGTGCGATTGCAGTGGAGTGGACTTCATTGTCAGCTCTCTCAAAGCTAGTGGAAAATGCCGCTTCCCATCTCCTCTGCCACCCAGAGTCATCAACCACTTCACGTCCCCATTCCTCTGCTATCACTCCATGCATCCTCTCAGCACAAAATTTAGCCACCTATCAACCATTGCTTAAGTTAACATGGGGAATGAACGGCATCAAAATAAAGAATCCTTGTCTTGAGATGCAAACCAGGAAAGGTACATTGTCATGCCGGAGAATCAAACTAAAATATTCATATTATATATTCCTGTATGTATGTTTGACCGGTGGAAGTAGAGCTATAAAAATTAGACAAGTGGACCAATAAACTTAATCATGGATTCGTTTAAGACATATTAAACTGTCCATTTAAGTAGTAACAAAACTATACAATATTAACACTTTCTTCAATTAGAGAAGACAATAAATACAACCGCAATCACTCAAATTTGTTTAAGAAGTCTGAAGATGATGTTGAAAACATGACAATAGCATGAAAGCTATTTCCATGAGAAAATTATAGTTATTTGATTAAATAAGTCTTGACATGAAAGAAAAGATAAGCTGGTATGTCATTTTCCTAGTAACTAAGTACCAGATGCTGATATATACAAGTAACTGAAATTTGTTTGTGGTTCATCACGAATCAAGGGAAAAAGCAAGCTTCTCTAGAAAGGCAATAGTACTAGATCTAGAAAAAAGGCAACAAATAAAAAGGAAGGTATTATTGTCAAATGTAAAAAAGACGAAAAACTGTGACCTACGGATGGCCACAAAGCTGTTCACCAACCCACCGCCCAAACCCTCTTTTTTCCTGGTCTTGCTCTATTAATTGAACCGACCAGTCATGGTGCCCATGCCACTACTTCAATGACAAAACATGGCACACCAAAAATAACATTTGTTCCCGCCTACGTTGACTTTCTTATTCCCACAATAAAGGAATTTCATGATTCCTTAAGGTGGGGCACCCATGGGAGGATTCTTTATACCTTGCTTCGATTGTTTCGATGGACCGTACAAAATAATAATGACAATAATAATAGCACTAAGATGGAATATTGTAACGATAAAATCAACAATAAGTTATAAGTTTGAGCTAATGAGACCTTGTTGAAACACCACATTTTATAAGTTATATTTAAGATTATCATATATTTTAAAAAATTTCTTTGATAATTTATTTAGTCCCTTGAAATTTTATAAGTTCATCAATCTTAAAATTTTAAAAGTTCAACCCTTAATCTAAGATACTACGTCCATCTATGTTCACGTTCAAATTTTACTATACACACATAATGTACAGAAAACTCTATCAAGATTTTTCCTGATATAGATTCGAATACATTTTAATTATTAATTTAATTATTCATACACGTAAATCATAAATGTCAAATGCAAACATGACCGACGAAAACCCAGCAGCCACATAATAAAAAAAAAGGTTTCAAATCAAACCAATAATAACTTGGGAACTAAATATATTAAGAGCCTTGACTTATTTAACAAATGCTAATATATTGTATAGTATGTTATTGGCAAAATTAGCGAAGCTTTTATTATTATATTATTTTCTTTAAAGAAAACAAAGAGCTAGACTTCTTGGGCCAAAACAAAAACTGATGTGCTGGTTCTTAAATCACGTGTTCAGGAAGAATGCGAAAGGCTAACCCTCTAGTAATTGAAAACGTGTCAAAGCATGAAAAAAGAATAATTGTTTATATCCAAACAATAATAATTTATTTAAACGTTTCCCTACAATTATTTAATATTTATTTATGCATTTAATATATTTTAGTTAAATTCTTATATACAATTATTATTTTGATTCACTATTGAAGAACACACTGTGGAGGGACTCCCTCACGCCATCTGCCCTCCATTTTCTCTTTATGGAACAAGCTAAATTAATCGTACTTGAACCAGTGATTTTTTTTCCTGAAGAGTCAGAGCAAAATTGAACATAAATTCTTAAACGAGTGAAGAATTCATTACCTGTGAACCACCGTGGCCATCGTAGACACCGAAAAAGTGGATAGGGGAGATTTCCGCGGCGGTTTTCGAACCAGGAGCCGTACATCCTCCGACGTGATCGCACTTGCGGGACATGAACGCCGGTATAACGGAGATAGCGTCTTCCATTTCTCTCCGTCTCCCGATCACAGAAGTGAACCCCCATGTCACTCCCTTGTTGTTCCACCCAACGCACTTCTCCCTCACCGTTACCGCTACATCAAGCTCCTCACAAGCAGGCGCAGGGTCGAGCAACCTGGGAATCGCAGCCTCCGCAGTTAAAATCTCACCGGAACTCCCGCTCGTGCCGGAGATATCGCCCGAGCTCGTCGTGCTCAGGGAATCCTCCCAGATGAGAATCGAGGATACACCTGAGTTGGTTGAAATCAGGTCCGGTTCGGAGAGAGAGTCGAGTCGGTGGACTCGCTGTTCCTCTTGCTCTACCGGTGGAGGTTCCATGTGACGGAAGAGGATAAAAGATAAAGGAGAAAAATAGAATTCGGGAGGAGATATAAAGAGGGGCGAATACTGAAGAGAAATGCGACACGTGTTAGAGAAATTGAGTTGATGTCACACGCATCCTCATCGGATACAAAAGTTAAATTCTTTTGGTCCCTCTAGTATACTAAAACTTTAGATTTAATCCTTAAATTTTATTAGGGATGTAATTTGATCTTTTTCTTTTACAATATTAATAATTAGTTTAAATTATTAAGATCATAATTAGACATGATTAGTGGATTTTCAACTATTCCGATATGAAACAATATAGTAATATATAACGTAGCAAAAGCTAGGAGTTCCTCAAATTGATGTTTCTGAAAGCAAAATTAGGGACGAAATTTCTCTTACCTATTATTAATTTCGTCACTTATACAAGATCTCAATTTTATCAAGGCTTTATGAACTTGTCAACCCTTCAACTGGAATAGTTAACGATATTAACAATCGACATCGATTAATAAATTAATAATATTATTAAAGTAGGGCAATTGCAATGTACCAAACTAAAATATGGATCAAACTCTGAGTTTTTGCATAGTATAGAAACCAGAACAAAAATATAGCCAATAATAAAGTCATTGAGTTGTACTCACAAGCTTTTTTGTTTCTTCGCTACGTGGCATTCTTTGAAAGTGCCACGTAGGTATTGGGGCCAGGGTGGACCTCCACGAACAAACCATTATAGGTGGGGGGGACACAAGAGGCAAGATTTACGCTATTTACTACGGGGCTACTCATCGGAAACTCCCTGCACCAGCAGGTCATCGAATGAGGTGTCGGAAACCCGAATGTTTTGATTGCTGACATGACAGTTTGGATGAGTATGATTGGGTGTTCGGTAATCAGGTACAATGTGCCGTAAACTGTTACCTTGCGTTGGATTACAGTTTGTAAATATGTCAAGGAATCTAAGGTTCGTCGTCAGGTGGACCCAATCATTCCTTTAAAAACGAACTACGTGGCGGTTAGGAACAGATACCGGGCCCATCTATTAGGTGGAATAAGACTCTAGGGCAGTAGAGCCTATAAAAATTGTAGGTCGAAAGCGGAGTTTTCAATTTTGCTGAATAAACATAGGAAGCAAGTGAAAGGGCCACGTCACATGCTCTAGCTTTTAAATAGAGCATTTAATTTTTAGTTACATTTTGGCTAAACTACAAATTCCATTACTTAACTGTCTTTTCATTTTTATTTTGGTCATTAAAGTTAAAAAATTCAATTTACTCATTAAATTTTTGATTTGTTATTATTTTGATAATTTGCTGTTAAATCATAAATAAAAGAATGACACGATAGTCATGATTTTTATAATTATAAAATACATGTGTCATCCACATTATTATTTTTTTCTTTTTTTATATTATTCCTCCAAAAATAAAAATTTTATAATTTTATCTTTGTGTTACATCGACACTACAATTATCATTTTTCGATGTCTTCTCTAACCGCTTTAAGATGTTGACAAATATGCCTCAATGTCTCCTACTACTCTATCAATTTAGATTTTGTTTAAATCAATTTAAAACTCAACCCAAACCTACAACTTGTCAAATCTCAAACCAATTTGATCTATAATATCCAAATCGACGAATACACTAAGCCCCTTACGAGACCAAGTGCATCCTCATTATTTTAAAAAATGATTAAATTTAATTTAATAAGTTAAGGAACAAATAAAAAATAAAAAATAAAAAATAAAAAATGATTAAATGATGTTGACATCATTTTAAATTTTTTAAATCCATCATTTAATATCCTATATTTGATCATCATATAATTAAGATATACATCTCATTTATCCATTCTCACTAAATTATCTAGAAAAATGTCCAAAAAAATCATTAAAAACAAAGTTAGGCGGTTGAAACAAACTCATTAAAATTAATATGTTGTAGGAGTATAATGTATCTTATCATTATATCAAATATTTATTGATTTTCAATATTTTTTTTAGAAAAATTCTACAACGCACGTCGCATACCACAACGTGCCGAAACACACCATACGTAAATTTTTCCTTATTATGAAAATATTAAAAAGTATAAGGATTTATTTGAAATTAATCATTTATTAAAAATTAATTATAATTTTAATATAATTACAATTAAATTATAATTTTTAGGGTAAACTACATGTTTAGTACCTAAACTATTACTTTTGTTCTGATCTAAACCTCAACTTTCATTTTTTTTCAAAATCATACATATCGTTTATTTTTTATTTCATTTTCATACTCCGACGTTAAAAACTTAACGGAACAACTGACGTGGTATTTTTTATTTAGGTAAATTACACGATTCATCACTCAACTATCTTCTCACTTTTATTTTGGTCACTAAAATTAAAAAAATCAATTTAATCATTCAACATTCAAATTACTTGTATTTTGATATCTCTCTGATGATGTGGATTATTTTTTTTATTATTAATATTACATGTCAAATATATTATAATTAAATGTTAAAAAATTTAAAATCAAATTCAAAATCAAAATCAAAATCATTAATCTTAATCTTAAATCTCCAAACCCCAATGACTTAAACACATCCTTAACTTCATCTTCATGAAACAAAGAATACCCAAAAACCCATACTAGACCTTGTTTTTCCTTTCATTTCCTTCTCTTTCCTTGCATGAGACCGTGCTACGATTGAGTAAAACTACACAAAAAATAATAAAAAAACCTTGTAGTCCATACTTATCTTCATCAAGCTTTTGTTCTTATTTTTTCATTATTTTCATTTTGGTTTTATGATTAGGCTCATGAAAACAAAAAGAGGGTAAAGTTGTTTTTGTTTGGTTGGTGATCTAGTAAAATGGGTTATATATTTATTTTACCTGTAAAATGAGGGAAAGTGAAAGAAAACAAGTATAAACAAAAACCTATATTTTTTTTGTTTTGTTTTTGTTTCATAGTCTTTATCTATTTTTTTTATTTTAGTTTTACTTTTTATGGAACTGTAGCATTTTAAGAGGAAATAAGGAAGCATGGATGACAAATTCCTTCTCATTCATTTCATGCGCTTTTCCCTTTTATTGTTGTTGTTTTTGTTTTTATGCTAAAAAAATTTGAGTTTTTGTTATTTCAATTATGGGTATTGAGCAATGTTTACATTTTTCTTAATTTGTCTTTGTGAAGGTGATGGTGGTTGCTCTATTCTTGACACTTAAATTTGTTTCTACGTGTTCATTTTTTTCTGATTTGCAAACGATTTTTCAATGGATTCTTATGTGGTGGTCGGAGGTGATGTCGGTGGGATTAGGGTTTGGATTGACGATTAGGGTTTGAAAATTGAGGGTTGGATATTTTTTTAAAATCTTATTTGATATTAAATATTAATTAATTTAGCATGTCATACTACTACTACTAATAATATAGTCTGAGATGATCAAAATAGAAGCAATTCAAAAGTTTAATGATTAAATTCAAAATTTTAAACTTTAGTGATCAAAATAGGAGAGAGAAAATAGTTGATTATTGAACTGTATAGTTTATCAAAATAAAAAATACCACATAAGATGCTCCATTAACTTTTTAACGAGGGTATTAAAATGAAACAAAAAGTAAACGTTAGATATGATTTTGAAAAAAATTGAAAGTTGAGGTATTAAAACAGAATAAAAGTAATAGTTAGGTACTAAACATGTAGTTTACCTTTTTTATTAAAAATGACCGGAGCAGTTGATTTTTCGACGAGTGAAGATGGTTGTCGATGGTGACTGATACTGATGGCCGATTCTAACTTATATAACTTAAAAATACTAAATCTAAACAAATTAAATTACTTAAATTAATCATTATTTTTAATAAAAAAATATAATTATAATTATAATTCTATTAAAAATTATAATTAAAATTTTAATAAATGGTTAATTTTAAATAATTCCTTATATTTTTTAATATTTACACAATAAGGAAAAAATTTGCTTGTAGTATATTTTGGTACGTCGCTTTAGTAGTACATTGCGATAACCTGCGCTGTAGACTTATCTTTTTTTTTAAATGTATATATTAACATATAATTTGTTTAAGTGTATATGTTTATTCTTTTTAAAAAAATGAGTGTATATGTTTACTAATAATTAAATTATCTTTTATTTTCATAAAATTCGAAAAACAAAATGAATTTTTTTTTAAATTTCATAAATTTAATATATAACATGTTAACAAATATAAATAGTTAAAGTTCATAAATTTATTGAACTAACTTTTCAAATTCTGGAATTAAACGGAACTTTAATGAAAGAGAGAATCGGCAGATTGATTTGAATCACAAACGCATGTTGGGAGAGAGATGGCGATGCACGCCAAAAAGAGAGATTGTAGGAACCTCGTGTAACAGAGAAGGTCATGCAAATCAATTCGATCAGATTAGATCGAACAGCATTCCAATGGACGAACTCAGCAATGCGGAATCAACACGTGTGTACGGTGGCCCGGCCCCACCATCCGCTACACCGCGACACATATTCACCCCTTCATTCCTCCATTGTTTGTCGCACGGATCTTTTCGATTTGAAAAGAAAAAGGCGTTGCGGCAGAGATTCCGTCAAAAATGGAAATGACCGAGTGCAATTTCTCTCCCTCTCTCTCTCTCTCTCCCTCTCTCTCTCTCTGAGAGCGATGCTTAGGTGGAGACTATTGAGGCGATGTTGTTTCAGCGACGGCAATTGGGGAAAAGTAATCACGTAAGATTGAGTGCCATTGTCGTCTGCTTTGATTACTACAGGTTCTTACTTGGCCCACCCATTCTTCCACTATTAGATTGCTATAATCAAATTAGAATTTGAATTTGAAATCAATAGTTTGATTGAGAATTAACAATCGATTAAATTTCAATTGAAAAAAATATTAGAAATTGTTTTTTATTTAGGTAAAGTACAAAAATGTCCCCCAACTATAATATATTATTTTGTTGAGCCCCTTTACTATTAAAAATTACAAAATGATCCCCTGACTATAGGGCATT